ATGTATCTTGTCATGTTTTTGTGGTAGAGTACTAGTTGTTATATTATCATTACCTTTGGTGTAAGTACAAAGTATTGTGGAGTGTCTCTTTGATTTACAGTCCTGACTATCTGATTGAAAACTGATCTCTCATTAATAGAATCCATTCCCTTGTGTATACACAATATGCTCAATGAAATATATTAATAACACTCTCTCACTAATAATCCTCTCACCTGATTTATCTCATCAACTACTCTAAAAGGACAATTAGTGATATCTTGTAATGCCATGAGGTACAGCATAGTAAAGACACTCCTCTCTCCTCCACTCTGATGACGTGCATCCAATACATGCAATGACTCCTCACTACGAAACTTTACTCTTATCTGCACACCATATTTCTTGAAATCCTACAATACAAGAATAATAATGACATTCATTTGGTACATTAATTCGATGAAACAATCTAATATTGATCAGAATCAACTCAAACTTAATTGCTACACAACAAAACATGTACAAATACATGTACAGTCAAACCTCTCTAAAACGAACCCCCAATTAGCGGACACCTCTCTATAACGTACAGTTGCTCTTGTCCCCGGCCATAAGGCCATTGGGTAGTGTATAAAAGAACCTCTATATAGCGGAACCTCTCTATTCTGTATAACGGACGAGATTTACTGTCCCCACACATCCACACGTGTACAAATTAACCTTCAACGGATGGACACGGCCCACGCAACGGACTTTCTAATTAACGCGCATCAAGAAAATGGCAGATTTTCTGATCTGATTAGCATTGGATAACCTCCGATTTAAGGACACCTCCGTATAAAGGACAGTGATGGCTGGCCCATAGGTGTCCGTCTTAGAGAGGTTTGACTGTATAGGCATCAGAACAAATTATAAAAATGAAGAATTTTCTTTTAGTCATTTTAGGCAAAATTTGGCCTTTGATCCCATTATCGAGCAAATTTATCTCCATCATTTAGCTTCGTTACTATAATTTTTGAGGGGATCAAAAATTTTGGCAAATATAGCATTTTATATTTATTCACCAATATAAAACCCACCATTTTGAACCATTAATTAGCAAATGTTTAATGGCACATGGCCATAGTAGCAGGTTTATTTTGAGGATAACAAAGTTTATGAATTTCCCAGATTTTTGAAGATTTGTGAAATTAAATTCCTTGAAAATCAATTTAATACAGTAAAAGATGGCAGAAAAGTGGCAATTCACAAAAATTAATTCCTTGAACGTCCGGATACAGGCCATTTGCAAAAATTATTATCCTTGAAATAAACCCGCTATACGGTATTTACCAAATCAAAAATCATCAATCATCATAAGTTTAGCAATTTTACTAAAATTCCCCTCACCAAAATTACTAGCTACATATGGTAAACTAAACAAGTCACTTACAGTTTCAGTTTCGTCTTTCAGTAGATCAACTTCACCAACACACTTCATGTCCCGAAAAAATTTACTGAACTTTTCATTGATCTTTTTAATCATTTCATCCAATGGCTTAAGCCAACTACACACATTAATTATTTAATAAGAGATCATGTGACAGTCATGTGACTCACCGATTCTTCAATTCTTCAATATTTTGCTCATGATTCTGATACTCTTCATCTTCTTTCTCAATCTACATGTAACAAAATGCATTGTAAATTCTTATTAAGAATCAAACAATAACTCATTAATTATTAGTATCATTAGCATCAAAACCCACAAAGGCCACAACATTAACATACATAATGTGTAGCTACATGTTTTATTATAGTGAATGAGACCTAAAGCAAAGTTTACAACTGCTGCAAAATGAAACACAAAATTAAAATCGAATTGTTTTCATTGATCAAGTCCCTCATGCAGTAATGACTTTCAAAGTGAACTTAACCTGTTCTCTTAATTCTTTAATCTTAGACTCATTAGCTTCATATTGTCTAGTAGCCTATGAATAAAGTATCAGAGAGTAAGTATAAAAAGAGACACTGACAGACATGTACTTGTACAGTGTATATACAGTGTGTGTATACTTGGTTACTTACAGCTTCTTCATCATTGAGAGATGAGGAGTGCATTTGTACTTGTGTTTGGTGCTCATGTATCAGATCCTCAAGCTCAGCTGATGTCTCTGGATAACTAGTGAATGCCTAAAACCAATGAATAACAGAACATGTTGAAAGGAACATAAAACATATTAATCGATTTAAATACATGTACATGTACATGTATGCATGAACACGTGTATATGTACAATCTACATACATGTATGTATATGTGTAAAACATGAGTTGTATTTCATGTTCATAAAATACTAACATAAACTTGGGTTCATAAAATACTATACAAGATGATTTATTGGTGAGAGTAACATTTGGCAAATTTACTCTAGAAAGTTAATTGGAAATTTTATAGTGGCGATTTTATGCCATGTGCCATTAAGCATGCTCAGTTGGAACAATCCTC